TTTATTGTCAACTTGATTAGTCTTGTTAACGACTCCCTCCTGATCCGTTGTGATTCCAGGATATCTTCCTCTCTGTCCAGAATTTCCACTATGGCCATTAGTGCATTTTCTCCAGAGATATTTGTATACATTGATTCCACATGAAAATTTACCAATAAGTCCGTTTCTTCCAGTGCCACGTTTTTGATTTTTTGCGAAAACTCATATGAATGTTTGATCGTGTTAGATAGTCTCTCATTTAATTTCTTGAGACAGGACCACATATCGTATACTGAACAAGGATCTAACTATGAAGATCAATGGGATCTTAAGTGCCATGCTAAAATATATGTATACGAACGGGGAGATTGATGCATGGACAAGAAATTCAATAATAAGGAAGGATGTACGACCACCAACAGCATACGGATTACCGAAGATACACAAATAAGGCTCGCTGCTTAGGCTAATAGTCAACAACAAGTATGGAGCAACACACAAATTGGCAAAATTTATATGTTTGAAATTCAAGAAATTAAATGAGAGACTATCTAACACGATCAAACATTCATATGAGTTTTCCCAAAAAATCAAAAACGTGGCACTGGAAGAAACGGACTTATTGGTAAGTTTTCATGTGGAATCAATGTATACCAATATCTCTGGAGAAAATGCACTAATGGCCATAGTGGAAATTCTGGACAGAGAGGAAGATATCCTGGAACCACAACGGATCAGGAGGGAGTCTTTAACAAGACTAATCAACTTGACAATAAGGACAACCTATTTTACATTGAACGGGAACATCTATGAACAAATATTTGGACTTCCCATGGGATCACCCCCCTCACCACTTTTGGCCAACATATACATGAACAAAATAGAAGAGAGCTTTAAGACGGCACCGCTACAACCGACAGTGCTCATGCGGTACCTAGATGATTACTTTGCCACTTGGTCATATAGAAGAGAAAAACTAGATGAATTTCTGCAATTTGTAAACTAGATTGATAAAAAAATTTAATAGTAAGTGCGATGAGGCCACACTACGTTTGCCACAAAGGGCACATATTTGGATGATTGAAATAAGAAGTTGTGATAGGACTGCAGTGAGATAAGAGGGTAAGGATTAAATAGATAGACAATGATAGAAAGAGGAGTGATAGTGTAACCATTTCCAGCAGAACGGTTAGTCGAGGAATTGACTTCACTTATCTTTTTGACGAGTTCATGTCTTGGTGCGGAGAATGGCAAGGCTCACTGATGATGCCAACTACGATGCCGGCGAAACGCCTGAAAATGTATCAAGTCCACTGTCAGATGCTGGGAATCAAGACAACTACTATGGCAGACGACTTCGGACTCGCTGCGTTCTATATAGTTGACCTGAACACAAGACCAAGTTGCGACAACGAGGTCAACCCACTTCTATAAGACGAAAGTAGACTGCGACCATACCCGAGGCCACAACATCTTGGTCTTCACATTTTCAATAGTGAAATAAGCTTTGCCGTAAATAGATATTGCAAAGCTTGAATGAGAGGACAAATTATTTGGCATGCAATGTAAAAATAAATTTAATGGCAAGGCCAGGATCCCCCTTCGCTTAACTCTAGAAAGTTAAACTATAAGTCCCTGAAAAAGTAAATAAAGATGGATATTCATTCAGAATCTGCCTAGGGTTTTGGAACTAACAAGATGAACTGAAAGGTTTACATATTGCGTGTACAGGACATATGTATAATCAGAATAAAATGTGAATGTATTATAACTTACCAGGTCCATCCCAAGGCTCGAGACTACAGGCGCTCCATTTATAGAAGGCCCTTGTTAAGGCCAACATTGGGCTCTCATTTCCACCGGCTTCTTTTCCTACCTCCACATCATCTTCATCTTCTCCAGCATCGTTAGCATTTGGTTCCAAATGAGGGTCACCCTTATGCCAAGGCTCTGGTATCAAACTCATAATGCATTCTGGTAGAGATCGGTCGCTCAGGTGATACAGCCACTCTAAGAGGTTATCCAATGAGCCTGAGTCAGACATTCGCGCCTCAATGACGGGAAACAAGCGTGAGAGCTTATCTTTAGGAAAGGAACGATGTTGCATCAAGCCTTGACGAGCATAGGCATAGTTTACGTTTCCCTAAATATATTCCAAGCATAGTAAAACATTAGCTAATAAAATACAGTAGATTAATATTATTAAAATGTAGTTACTAATCGGTAGGGAAGATTTAGATGCCCAGATTGAATGCTACCCAGACAGTCTCAGCTAACTAGAGGGAGGTGCCAATAAAATGCATAGAATTTAGAGGATCGATAATAATTTGGTCAAGATCCCAGTGTCATCTATTAGATATTTAAAAGAAGGAAGTAAAAAAGCCACTTGCAATTCCTTTGTTGTTAGATTAAGCATATTCAACACGGCAGGGAATGTTTATATTGGGAAACTATGTTTATTTTTAAAAAATGAGAGCATTGTCAATAAAATCGCATTTTTACACGGATAATAATTAGACATACAATAAAAATTAGGAATATGCCAAAATATTGGCATCCGCATGGAAAGTAAACAGTTGACATAGATTAGCTATCTATGCCCTGATAATGTGATTGCGGCTCCTTCTAAAGAAGTGTCATGTCTAGCAAAATAAATTTCTCTTTAATAATGTATACTAATATTTCCATTGGTATGGGTCGCTCAGAAAAAATGACTTTCTCTTTGGGCTAAACGATGATCAAACACGATTTATTTCTTAAATTACGAATTTTCATAGGCACCCGGACGAGACTATTTAGTGATCATATTGGCAAGCCAATTATCGTAAAAAAATATTTTAATCTGCACGCCTCAAAAATAAAATGAATATGAATCTAGACACTTCTAAAGTCAAACAAACAGTAGTCTTATAGATAACAATACTTATACTACATTATCCTAAAATTTTCTTAATAGGAATGAGAATTAACCTAAACTTTTGAAACCATACTTTCCATAAAGTTGAATATTGCCTGAATCCCTAATAG